CTCAGAAACGCGACTACAGATTTTCTCCAAAGTGTCGGAGAATGCTATGTACTAGTTCATGAAATTCTTAAATTATCTTATTTTTTTAGTTTAGTGTCAACCATTTATGAGTTTAATAAAATTTTGTCGTATACGACATTTGTCAAAAAATTTGCAGTCAGTTTTAGTGATATACGCCAAAATGTGATAACAATTTTTATAAATTAACCATACTTTTTACTAATCAGCCTAATCGTGAGTTTCGCCCGAACAAAATTTCGCCAACAATTTTTTCATCCACCTGTAGTGAACACACGCAAACGAAAAGTGACCCGGTTCTAGAAAATTAAACTCATGATAAAGCTGAATATGTCGGAAACTAAAGAAGAACAGATAACTCTATTTGAAAGATCTTGATTAGTTTAGTACGACAGCAATACTAACACAATTTGTACCAAATAACCGAAAAAATTTTAGTCAATTAGTCGGAAACTAAAGAAGATATCCAAAAACCACAAATTGTCAAAATGACGCTTCCGGCAACCTGCAAACTTTTACTGGAAAAGTGTATGATAACCCAAAAAATTTGCAAGAGAGCACTGAATCGAGAGCGTAACAACACGAGAGAGCTGCAAATTCTTGCTAGTGAAATTTTTACTAGCAGAAATTAGCTAGCAGAAGAAGAAGAAGAATAAATGTCAAAAGAATATATAAAAAGTGGTGTTACTAGCTCAGTTGATTTTGTGTATGTGTTTCGCCGCACGGCTTCTGATATCAAATTGAAAAATTTTGTTTGAATTTCTACACACACTTACAGATTTTGACAGTTTATGCCGCCAAAGCAAAAACAAAATACATGTAAATTTTTGTTTTTGTACTCCTGCTATCACCTTATATTGATTCGCCTTGGCACAAACAAAAGTAAAATGAGTGGAAATCATAATATTAATGATGTACTGGACAGTGTAAGTGCTTGTGTGTAAAGCAAAGAGTTTAAAACTGATTTATAAATAGTAAAATGTTTTGCAGCAGATCGTCAAAGCAGTGCAACAACTGTTCTCTTGCAAGTTTTTGCTAGTTTTGTGTTCAATAACCTCTTCTGCTAGTTTTCTCTTCTTCTCAATTTTACGCTCTATTTTGCTTTTACGTTCTCGCTGCAATGTTTTACTGGAGAAGTTACTATACAAACCTAATGTTACTCGCATATTTTCGAGCCTGTATGTAAATTTTCGGGAAAAAGGTTAAAAAGTATATTCATCTGCTGAAAAGATATTTTCGCAGATTCACAATTTATTTAAAATAAATCTATCTCCAATTCCATGTGAATAAATCTCTCCAGTGCTTAAATAATTTTCACCACATTAAATAGCTGCACAACACCCTAATTGCCGAAAAAGCGTTGCT